TTTTTTGAACCATTGCTATAAAACTTCTCACTATCCTCTCCAAGTAGACACACACAGTTTTGAGGGCTGCTCTGCCCGCCTTTGCCCGGCAAAGCAAATAAAGCTAGTTTTTCCTACTTCCCACAAAACTCTCTCCAATAGCTTAATAATGTTTTCAATGTTACTTCGGATCGCTGGCTAAGTGAAATCCAAAGCAAAATTAAATGTCTATCTCAAGATAAATCCATCTTAAGCAATTAACGATCTTTTGTAAATTACCTACAACCTATGTAGGAATCTTTGGCCTTTAATTAAGTTACTTTGAACTAAGTTATTTTGATTATGGTCCTACCAAAAATTCTTTAAAAAATTTTTGAAAGTATACTCAGTATATATCCCTAGGGGGGAAAATGATAAAACAATAGTGTAGTCTTTTCTACAAAAAAGTAAATGATGGCTGACATTCCTATGTTTCCAAAGTTCATCTGAAAGCATAACATTATGCAAATAGCAACTAAGTTTAAAAAAATCTGTATTTCTGACTGCATCTGGTCTTAGTTGTGTCACATGGGCTGAGCTGCCCTGTGGCACGTGAGATCTCAGTTCCCCAGTCAGGTGTTGAATCTGTGTCTACTGCTTTGGAAAGCGGATGTTAACCACTGGGCCACCAAGGAAGTCCTGGCAATTCAAGTTTGAAAGAGTAATGAGTCGTTCTAGTGACAACACAAATTATAATGTTACAATTAAAATCATGTTGTACTGGTTCAAAGACAGATATAATGTAAATGAGTAATAGGACTTATAAATTCACCCAGGTTCATAGGATTTTTCTGTAGTATACTCTTGGTTGTAAGTGACAGAAAGGTTAACTGAAATGCTTTTGAAATTTAAGGATATTTGTTGATTGGCTAACATAACTGCAAACTTCAAAAAAACTAAGCTTCACAGTTAGCTGGTATATTGGATCAATTATGCCATAAAGGAGATAAAGGAGTCCTTTTCTTGTTTTCTTGTCTGATTTATCTTACATCTGACTGACCTGGCACTTAGAAGGATTGCTACCTGTAACAACTCAGAGAAAAGGCTCTTCCTGTGACTCTGGCAGAAGTAATTGACCTTGATCATCAGATACATACGACAAGGACTAAACCACTGTGGAGACAGGGCAGAATATTTTTGCATTTCAGGTGGCCTATTAATACTTGGCTACCTCTTGCAACTCATATTGTGACAGTAAACAAGAAACTACAGAAGCCTGGCCTGCATTTTGGGTAGATTGAAGATGTGATTAGACATTGCAGGGGTAAAATTCTAGGCTATACCTTTAGCTAAGCCACTAAAATCAGTTGAGAAGCTAGTAGAAGGTGAAGGGAGAACAGAGTCGATAGTGAAGGGAGAAGACAATAGACAGACACTGCAGCTCTGTGATCAGCAGTGCCAAGTGGCAAAGTTCATTACTCCTGCCGTCCTCCTCTAATCTGTCAGGAAACTATGTTTAGGTAAAGTCCCCACTTCTGAATTCATCATCAGCATTGAAGTGAAAGAAGACAGAATGAATGTGACTGAATTCATTCTAATGGGACTTACTCAGGATTCTCAGATGCTGATAATTCTATTTTTGGTGTTACTTAGCATCTACATGGCAAATAGATGGGGAAAAAAAATGGAAACTGTGACAGACTTTGTTTTATGGCGTTCCAGATAGTGACTATCACTGTAGATGGTGACCACAGTCATGAAATTAAAAGACACTTACTCCTTGGAAGAAAACTATGACAAATCTAAACAGTATATTAAAAAGCAGAAACATAAATTTGCCGACAAAGATCTGTAGAGTCAAAGCTATGGTTTGTCCAGTAGTCATGTACAAATGTGAGTTGGACCATGAAGAAAGCTAAGCACCAAAGATTAGATATTTTCAATCTATGGTGTTGGAGAAGACTTTTGAGAGTCCCTTGGACAGCAAAGAGATCAAACCAGTCCATCCTAAAGGAAATCAACTCTGAATATTCATTGTAAGGACTGATGTTGAAGCTGAAACTCCAATACTTTAGCCACCTGATGTGAAGAGCCAATTCATTGAAAAGGACCTGGATGCTGGGAAAGATCGAGGGCAGGAGGAGAAGGAAGCAACAGAGGATGAAATGGTTGGATGGCATCACCATCATTGATGGGCATGGGTTTCATCAAGCTCTGGGAGATGGTGAAGGACAAGGAAGCCTGGCTGCTGCGGTCCATGGGATCACAAAGAGTTGAACAAGACTGAGACACTGAATAACAACAGTGACAAAAAGTTTCCACGTTGTGGCAGAGAGGGATATCTCCAAAGATCCTGACACTGCCTCCGAGTTGAGAATCTTTGAAATTCACACTCAAGGACACTAAGGCAGAAAATACATCTATAGTCCTGGAGAGGCTGAGTATGAGAAAGAGAGAGAGAGAGAGAAAATTATGCAAAGCTAAGAGGATCCATCTCAAGTATTCATCAAAGAACTGATCTGTGTGTGCATCTGAAGAAAATACCTGGGGCTGGGGAAAGATTTACCCAGATGAGTTATAGAGAAGAGTGCTTGATTCTCAAACTAGGCCAGGAAGAGAGGTAGGCTCTCATTAGCTGGAAAACCTCATATTTACGGGGGGGGAGGGGGGGGGAGTGCTGTTGGTTAAATATTTAGAAAAATTTTCATTAGCTGTAGGACATGACTAGTTCTATACTGAGCATATCCCAGGACAAGCTTCAAGACTTGTATCAGCAATATATTTTTAAAAAATCCTCAAAGAAAACACCCAAAGGAATCAAAACAAGTATTTTGTTCAAAATTTTGTGTCTTTGCTAATGTGAGCTATTAATCTAATTATTTCCACTTGATGCCCTTGAGTCATGCTGGTATAAGGGTTATGCTGGGTGCATAAAATGCATTAGGAAGTACATTGTTTCATTACTTCTATGAAAGTGCTGTGTAACAAGTTATTTCTTGATTAGTTGTCATGTAAAATTAATTGATTAAAGCTAGATGGGAATGAACTATCTTGCAGAAGAATGTTAGGACTCTAAACATTCAATTTATTTGCACTTAGATTATCCCAGTTTTAAACTATTTCTCAATGTGTTTAGACTATTGTGTTTTTCATAGCAATGGTCTGTTTTCTTTTCTTGGCAAGTTAACTGCATACATTCTTTTATCATATCATTTTGTTGTCTTTTTAAAATTTGTGGAACCTGCAATGATGGCTCTCTTTTCAATCTTGATTCTGATAATTTGGTTTTTCTCTTATTTTTTGTTAGTCCATTTGACTAGAAATTATAATTTATTCAATGTTCAAAAGGATCGATTCCTGGTATTCTTTACTTTATATGAATTACTCTTTCAATGATGTATGTCTTTCAACACTTTCCACACTACAATGTTCTTTATTTTTATTTTAAATTTTCTTTTTTAACACTTTGAGACAGAAGCTTAGTTCATTCTTTAAAGTATCTATTGTTTTCTAATATTTGCATTTAAATCCATAAAATTCTCTCTAATCACACAGTTAGCTGCGTCCAGTTAATTTATACACATTGCAATGTATTATATATAGTCTTTTATGTATATTAATATATACATATATCTTTTATAAATATTTTTCATATAGTTTTTATATACATGTATATCATAATGTTTGTGTTGAAAATATGTTTTTGAAGATAGTCATGAGTGATTTTAGGCTAAATAATTGGAAAATATTACACTTTTGTTATAAATTTCTGTTTAAAGTACATATGTGCTTTATGATTTAAGTTCTTAGAAATATATTGCAAATTGTGTCATGGCCTTAGGTATTTTCTACTTTGGTGGATGCTCTGTGAACACTTTGAGATGAATGGAACAGTCCCACAAATACTTTTTTCTGTTCCTAGTATGATACTAAAATTGATAAAACAGTTTCTATCAATTGTGTATCTGACATTATGTGACACCTTTTATCTGCATTTGAAATAAGGTTTAAATGTCTTGTTCTGAAATTAACATTCATGATTCGGAATTGGTTCAGATATCATCTTCAAAGATAAAGCTTAAACTTAAAAAGATTTGCTTGTTTTGAAGAACATAATTTCACAAAAAAGTTTTCACATATTTCATTTCTGTCCAGATTTGATTTTTTCTTTTGGTGNTCTGAAATTAGCATTCATGATTGGAAATTGGTTCAGATATCATCTTCAAAGATAAAGCTTAAACTTAAAAAAGATTTGCTTGTTTTGAAGAACATAATTTCACAAGAAAGTTTTCACATATTTCATTTCTGTCCAGATTTGATTTTTTCTTTTGGTGATAAGACCTAAATTTGCTTTTCATGATTTTTTCCCAGAGGGCAGAATTTTGGAAGTCTTGTTCCACACGGTGTTTGTTTTTGTACCATCTCTGGAGATCTACCCTCAAAATTATGATTAAGGTCCCAGTGAATTTAATTAGACAGAATCCTACTTGGAGACGCAGGAATCGAATGACTCAGTTGTATGTGCTGCACTTAAATGTAGACAAAGTGCTACAGCCATTTGCCAGGACCTGCGGAGCATCTGTCTACAGCAGTAATCACATGCCCGGCTTCTTCTGGAACTGAAATGAAGGACTCAGAGCATAATAAAGTGTGTATATGAAATTATTCAGCCTTCAGGAACACTAAAGTTCAACAACACTGTCTGAAGACAGGACAGTAAGTGATTAAGAAGCAAAATGTTGCAACAGCTATTTCACTATTTCACTTTTACTGCTCTAAGTGCAAACAAAATATTTTATTATAAACAATTTACACACAGTTTGAAGCTTTTTCTCTCTGTCTGATTAACACACTGATTTAATATTCATTTGTTATCAGGACAAATCCAGCCAACAGTGAACATTCTGAGTTTCTGTTCACAATCAAGATTCAGAGTTCCTTAGGAAACAGACATTCATATTCATTTTGAAAATCTCAGTAATTTGAAAAGTAATTTTTTAAAAATACCTAAGATGATTTTGATTTTCTGCAATCATGTAAAGCATTGGCCACAGGAAGCAGTTCAAGGTGCTGTGAGGCTGCATGAATCTCTCTCTGCATTAACCAGAGACAGACAGCATCAGTGCGTGAAGGACAAGCAGGAAGGAACCAGAGCCCAGACATGGATTGAGCAGCTTTCTTCATAGACAGGTAGCATATTTTAGAAACAAATATTTTAGAAGCATATTTGGAAACAAATACTTTAAAAGTATATTTAGAAACACAGTTCTGAATGAGGCTTTCAGTTGTAAGAGTATGTTGGTGAGGTGAGCTTTCTTTTTTTCTTTTTTCATTTATTTTTATTAGTTGGACGCTAATAGCTTTCTTACTTGCTCAGTCATGTCCAACTCTTTGGGACCCTTCGGATTGTAGCCCACCAGGCTCCTCTGTCCATGGGACTTTCTAGGCAAGGATACTGGGGTGGGTTGCCATATCCTCCTCAGAGGGATCTTCCTGACCTGGAGACTGAACCCGCATCTCCTGCGTTCCTGCATTGAGGGCTGGTTCTTTACCCACTGAGCCTTCAGGAAGCCCAGGATGGGGTTAGAATTCAGTCTTCTAGAGTTTTCCTTTGTGGTTTTCATAATAAGGCATGGTAGAACTCCTTTGTGATTATTAAATATGTTGATTCAATAGATTGGTTCTATTCTGTAATACTTCTTTTGAATAATTTCATGACTAATGATTTGGAATAAAGTTACCTACTTGAAGATAAAGTATCCTTAGAAATTAATTTCAAAGGTAATGATCTGGGGATAGTTTCATGGGTAGAGATATATAACTCTGACAATAGTTTTAATTTGTATGTTCTCTAACATTGTGTGTTAATTAAAAGATGAGGTAACATCTATAGACCTTGACTGAGTGACCCTCAAGAGTTGGAACAAATAGTGTAATAAGTAAACCGTGACTTAAAGTCCTATTTTTTTGTTCACAGGTGAGTTTAGGCATCCTATCATGTTTGTTAGACATTTAGAAGCAGTCTTATGTTAATTTTTTTGTTGATATTTTATTCTACATTTCATACTTTTATGTTTATCTTTTCTTCATTAGATGATAACTCTCTATATCATCCAATATGTAAGTCTTTCTTCGAACATTTCATCTATTGCTGTTTTGGTATCATTTCCTAAATCCTTAAAAAACATGAAATTGTCAAATAAACCTATTTGAGATTTCAAGGATTGGTTAAGAATATTCTTTCAACCCTAGAATGAAGAAGTGTACCTCCTTTATGAAATGGATAGTAAATATAAAGTAAATCTTGCTTTACATTTTTATTAAACTTTTAATCAATTTTTTAATTTTAACAGATATTAGCTATATGTACAATAATTAGCTTCCAGATGGAAAGCTAATAGTGACACCTCATTTATTTAATGATGTATCCTTTTCCCACAAATGTCTCTAATTAATTGCCTCTCTATTAGTATGCAAGATTTTGAGATTAATGACGATGTTTTAATAAGCCTTGATCATATTAATATCTGAAAGTATAAGAACCATACTGCTCATTTGTTGAATGAATGAACAAATTATCATGACATGTCAGGACGTCAGTCACAATAATTATATTGATAGGAAATGTTGTCCTGAACTCTGAAATAAAAGATGCAGAAAGACCTATGGAACAAAGGAACAATGTAACTGAGTTTGTCCTCTTGGGGCTCACTCAGAGCCCCCAGGGTCAGAAAATACTGTTTGTCATCTTCTTGCTCATCTACATCGTGACCATGGTGGGCAATCTCCTCATTGTCCTGACTGTGGTGTCCAGCCCAACTCTTGACATCCCCATGTACTTCTTTCTTGGCAACTTATCATTTATGGATGCTGTTTATTCTACTACAGTCACCCCAAATATGATTATAGACTTATTCTGTGCAAAAAAAATCATTTCATTCCAAGCATGCATGATCCAACTTTTTACAGAGCATTTATTTGGTGGTGCTGAGATTTTACTACTGGTGGTCATGGCCTATGACCGCTACGTGGCCATCTGCAAACCTTTGCATTATATGACATCAATGAACCAACGGGTATGTGTTCTGTTACTGCTGTTAGCCTGGACTGGTGGGTTTTTACATGCTATTGTTCATATTCTTTTTGTTTACAATCTTCCCTTCTGTGGTCCCAATGTCATTGACCACTTCGGATGTGACATGTACCCCTTGTTAAAACTGGCCTGCACTGACATCCGTATTATTGGCTTCACGGTGCTGGCCGATGACGGGGTCATCTGCGTGGTCCTCTTCACGCTCTTGCTCCTCTCCTACGGGGTCATCCTGCGCTCCCTGAAGGGTCTCAGTCAGGAGGGGAGGCGCAAAGCCTGGTCCGCCTGTGGCTCCCACATCACTGTGGTGGTCCTCTTCTTCGTGCCCTGTATTTTTCTGTATGTGAGACCTCCTTCCACTTCACCCATTTATAAATACTTGGCAGTGTTTTACACCATCGTCACCCCTATGTTGAACCCTCTGATCTATACACTGAGAAATGGAGAGATGCAAAATGCCATGAAAAAGCTCTGGAACAGAAGACGAAAATGAGGTCGTAGGGAAATATGTCACCTATTTTCAATGAAAAATTGCTCTTCTCAGGAAAACAACGTGTAATTTTTTAACTGTAGTATCTTCTCAGGCTAAATAACTTGGGTGAGATAAAAAACATCTCTTATTGAATAATTTGAATGATCAAAATATATTTTAATATTTTCAAGATTTCCTAGTTCAAAATATGTATTTGTTTGAAATGCATTTTTATGATTTCCATGATTTCTTGGGGGAAGTACATATAGTTTTGGGGTATAGAATGTCTCTTTGAGACTGTAGATTTATGTTCTATATGATGAGATAAGCTATATAGTTAATACTGTGAATTTATTAGATTAGGGGAAGATTTTACCATATTTCTCTCTAAAATAATGCAATATTTTTCAGAATTAATAGGGTTTATTACATTACAGATTTCAGAAAAAATAATAAATTCCTCCACACATATACTTATTAATATTTGAAGTATAGATACAATTTTTCTATCTGCAAGATTATTTATACATCATTTTTTTTCTGTTGCTTAACACCTTAAAATTGAAGAAGAATGTTTCAAAGATTTAAATTTAATAACAAGGCCATGTTTATAAAAATAATCTAAAGGAATGAAATTTTATGTAGAATAAAACCAAATCTTAATTTTCCAATTGTTATAATTATGAGTGTTTTAAAATAAATGTGCTATTTTAATATTTTTTGCTTTTGCATTTCTATTACCATATTACTTTTGAAAAATTCCATTTCCTTCAAGTGATTTCATACACTTAACCACTTTTTTGAAAATAACTTTTAAAATCATTTTATTAAAGTGAAAGTCATGTCTGACTCTTTGTGACCCTGTGGAATGTAGCCCACGGAATTCTCCAGGCCAGAATACTGGAGTGGGTAACTGTTCCCTTCTCCAGCAGATCTTCCCAATTCAGGAATCAAACCCAGATCTTTCCCGCATTGCAGACAGATTCTTTACCAGCTGAGCCACCAGGAAAGTCCAAAAACACTTTATATTTTAATCCATCTAGAATTTATTCTCATTTGTCATGGGCAAAGATGTGTCTGTTTTCCCTAAAGAGGTAAAATAGTCTGTCAACATAATGATTTGTTTCACACAGCTTGAAAACTTTCTACTTAGTAGGTGATGTTTTGCACCATCTAAGATGTTCAGTTCTGGGGCACTTTCTCCTCTTCTCCATCTCCTCTCTCACATTTCCCTTATCCTCTGAACTTTAGGGTCATTAAAATTTCCATAAAAACATGTTTATCATGTCATTGATAAATATGGTTAGGCTTTCCCTTCTCCAGGGGATCTTCCTGACCCTGGGATCAAACCCAGGTCTCCTGGATTGCAGGTGGATTCTTTACCAGCTGAGTCAGAAGGGAAGCCCAAGAATACTGGAGTGGGAAGCCTAACCCTTCTCCAGGGGATCTTCCTGACCCAGAAATCGAACCAGGGTGGGATGTTTTGAGAGAACAGCATCGAAACATGTATATTATCAAGGGTGAAACAGATCACCAGCCCAGGTTGGATGCATGAGACAAGTGCTCAGGGCTGGTACACTGGGAAGACCCAGAGGGATGGGATGGGGAGGGAGGTGGGAGGGGGGATCTGGATGGGGAAAACATGTAAATCCATGGCTGATTCCTGTCAATGTATGACAAAACCCACTACAATATTGTAAAGTAATTAGCCTCCTATTAATAAAAATAAATGGAAAAAAATAATAAAAAAATAAATGGGAAGGGAACTGAGTAGATATTTCTCCAATGCAAATATAAGAATGGCCACAGGAACATGAGAAGGTGCTCGACGTCACTAATCATCAGAGAAATGCAACTCATAACGCAAAAGGAGATCGCCTTTCATCTGTTAGGATGGCCATATGAGATCTATATGAGACAAAAATGTTTGGTGAGGATGTAGAGAAAAATGGAACTATACTATTAATGGGAATATAATTTTTTCAGTCACTACAGTGAACATTAGGGGGGTTTTTCAGGCAATTAAAAACAAAACCATTGTATTGTGCAATCGTGCTTTTGAGTATATATTCAAGAATGTGAAATCAGGAATCTGAAAGGTCATCTCTACTCCCATGTTCATTGCAGCATTATTCACAATAGCCAAGATCTGGATACAGCTAAGTGAACAGTGAAAGATGAATGGATAAAAGAAATATGATATATATATATATATATATATATATATATTTGTATATAGACTTCCCTGGTGGCTCAGATGGTAAAGTGTCTGCCTACAATGTGGGACACCCAGGTTCGGTCTCTGAGTTGGGAAGCTTTTCCTGGAGAAGGGAATGGGAACTCACTCCAGTATTCTTGCCACCCCTCAAAAAAAAAAGAATGGATAAAAGAAATATGATATATATATACATGTGTATATATATACATGTATATAGATAAAGGACTTTCATTTAGCAATATAAAAGAAGGGAATTCTGAAATTTGTGAAAACATAAAGGAACTTTAATGGCACTATGCCAAGTGAAATAAGTCAGCAAATATTGTCGTATTTGCATATTGTCGTATTCGCATATTGTCATATTTGCTTCTACTTCAATTTGAAGAAACATTGAAAGATTTATGAAAACACAGCCCAGGACTTTTCAATTTCTGGTAAACAACTTAGATGCCCTTCTGGGATCAAAGGATTTCAGTTTGGGCTAACACCATGGGGTCACAAAGAGTCGGACACGATTTAGTGACTGAACAACAATAATACAACGTGAGCTCTGTCCTGAGTGCTTTAGTGTTTTGAGAACATGTTTCTCTATCTATTGAAATGCATGAAGTTACCCATAAGATTTTTCTGGCATGTATTGGGTTTTGTAAAATTAGTCCCTGAAACTATCAAACGTCAAAACATACCTCAACTATTTTCTGATGAACTATGATATGATCTATACATAACATTTTTTGTTTTCATTCTAGTTTACCCTTCAAGTTTGAGAATCTGTGTTGCTATCTCTCCAGGGTTTTAAACCACTGTTTTTGGATTTGTATTCTGGAGACAAACTTTTCTGGTATAGCTCCAAAAACTATTCTTTTGAAAAATTATTTTCATGGGCAATCTTCACTGATTTAGACCTAATTCCACGTGACTCAGATGGTAAAGAATCTGCTTGCAGTGTGGGAGCCCTGAGTTTGATCCCTGGGTCAGGAAGATCCCCTGGAGAAGGGAATGATAACCCACTTGAGTATTTTTGCCTGGAGAATTCCATAAACAGAGCAGCCTGCGGACTACAGTTCATGGGGCTGTAAAGAATCAGACATGCCTGAGTGTCTAACACTTTCACTTTCCACTCTCTTTCCCTTTTATGCTTCTCTAGGGCTTTTGGAGCTGGGCTAAACAGACATGGGGGTTCTAAGGCAATCTCTTTGCCCAGTATGTTAGCTATTTAAGTGGAAACTAGGTGACCCCTTAATGGACCATAGTGAGTAGATTTCAGTCTCTTATGAGGTTAAGAAGGATGACTTTTGCAGTACATGCTAATTCTCTAATCTCACGCTTTAATTTCAGAGCTGAAAGAAGAGTTCAAGATACTTTCATAATATTTCAGCAAAATCCATATTTATCATAGTTCTTTAAATAGGTTCAAATCCTCATTCAAACTGTTTTTGGCATCTGCCTTCACAAATATTATTGCAGAACCATAATAATAAAATATCTAGCCAAACTATTAATAGATTTAGTCACATGATTTCAGTTCTCATAATCACTTTTCCTTCATGATGCATGCTGCTCACAGTGATTATATTCTCCAGAACCCATCCACAGTTATGTCCAATTTATGTTTCTTTTTAAAGAAAGCATATTTGAATGTTTTGAGTAAGTGTAGCTATATATATAGGAATATCAATACATTGAGTTCAGTTGAATTGAATTCAATGTATTTACAAAATAATTTCAAACTTTGGTATTTATTTCTTTTCATAGATAATTGCAAAGAGTCTTAAAGTTGGTGGTAGCATAAACATGTCATGCCTGTTTAGTTGTAAAACATAATTTAAAGACAAAATTCCTGACCCAGGATTTAATGATGTGATTCTTCACCTTCCCTTGGTAAATGGTGTCCCTATTCACTTTTTCATGCTTCTTTGTTGTAAACTGTGTATGTCATTGCTCATTTTTAATATTCCATAAATATATTATAGGACTAAATTTAAATGTAAAATGCATTTTACCATTTTTTAATATAACTGAAGAATGGAATTACTGTCATCATAAACATGTTAATCTAATTACAGAATTGGCACAATAAATAAGCATTTTGAGGAAGTACTATAAACTTTTTCTATTATGAAGTGCTAATATTACAAAGGGGTTCATAATTATCACTTAACATACATATGGAAACAATATTTATAAATTGTGATTAACATGAAAGTAGATCAATTAAAAATAAAATATCAAAATAAAAATTAAAAATAAAACACACATATAAGTGTTTAATTTATATGGTATCAAATATTCAGACTCCACATTTAAGCTCATTTATTATCAGATATCCAGTTTATGGCTTCCCAGGTGACCCCATAGTAAAGAATTTGCCTGACAATGAAGGAGATGCAAGCGATACAGTTTTGGTCCCTGGCAGGCTATAGTCCATGGGAATCACAAAGACTCAGACACCACTGAACACACACACACACACACAATCCAAGTTTATAAGTGGTCAACTTTTTCTCTTTTGAGATGATGTTTTGTTTTCATATTGACTTATGGATGAAGTTTAAAATTAGAGAGGAACACTGTAAAAGTTCCTCTGATGTTGTCACCTTATTTGAAATAATTGGTTTTTTGGCAAGACCTGTTAATGATAGGGAAATACCCATGAGTTCCAATTTCCCTGCAGAAGGGAATGGCCACCCATTCCAGTATTCTTGCCTGGAGAATTCCATGGGCAGAAGAGCCTGGAAGGCTACAGTCCACGGGGTTGCAAAGAGTTGGACATGATGGAGTGACGAACATTTCTCCTTTCATATATTTAAATTAGTTGAATTAATAATATAATTAGCTGCAATTACACACGTTAGAATAAATTTGCAAGTTAAATATGCATCCAAAATTTCTCTCACTTAATATTACAACTTTAGAATTTTTATGACATTGCACAATTTTTAAAAGCATCCCTCTTAAAAAGTATATATTATTCAAAAAGATATACTATATGTTATTCAAAGAGATGTAGAATTAAAAGGAATTTTAATTATCTTATTCCCCAGTGTTGAACATTCCATGCTGTTTCTAAATTTTCCACAGTTCTTATTAATAGTATTGGACAAATTTGTACATAGTGATTTTTCTCTTTTAAAAATATTTTACATTAGGGTTTATTCCTAAAATAAGTATCGCAGAGCCAAAGAAAAAATGAAAAAAAAAGTAATTTATATTTTTTTCATAGTTGTTTCTAAAATACTTTCATAAACTATGTTTAATTCTTACTTTATTTACACTAGCCTCTTTTTCTGCTAAAGAAAGAGGAAATGTGACAACGGTGCACTTTGTTTCCACATATGCATAAATGTTTCATCTTAGACAATTAAAAATACAGTTTTTTATTCATTTACCTTTGAAAAGATATGCTTTATGAAATGTATTTAATTGCATCTACTTCTCTTCTCCTTGGCAAATTTAAACCGCAAATTTCTTGTTGTGTTAGCCATGCACTATCTTGTAAGCAGGAATGATGGGTGCTGTTGGAAGACGGTAGAAGGTGTGAGAACGCATGTAGCAGAAACGTAAAGGATTGGGAAGGTCGCTCCTACTATGGATGGGTGAGCCGCTGCTGTTTGGTAATGGTAGGTCAGGAACTAAGGGCATTTAAGAGCAGCACCGTTATGACTTTGTATGAATAAACATACTGTAATATACACAGTAAATGTCCAGTAAGTGTTTGTTGACTGAGTGAACTTGTAGGAATAAATAGCAAGTAATGGATTTTATATGTGTTTGTGGTAGTCGGTGCATATACACTTATATGTATGGTGCATTACCTGTCTCTCTAGCAAATTATTCCTGTTCTTCATATAAAATTTTTATTTACAGAACTTGAAAGTAAGTATTTCCTTTACTTGAAAGATCTTTGTGTGTTGAACACCTATATGAATTGAGTTTTTTTTTTTTAACTAAAACTACTGAAGTTGTGGGTTTCTCTGGTGGCTCAATTGGTAAAGAATCTGCTTGCAATGCAGGAGACCTGGGTTCAATCCCTGGTTTGGGAAGATCCCCTGGAGAAGGAGATGGCGACTCACTTTAGTATTCTTGCCTGTAGACTATCATGGACAGAGGAGCTTGAGGTCTGGCAGGTTACAGTCCATGGGGTTGCAAAGAGTCGGACACAACTAGCAACTAACACACACACACACACACACATTGAAGCAATGAATATGCAGAATATGTATATTAAGTTATATGTGGAGCAGAATTTTGAAAAATAAAATAATCAATTAGCATATACACAAATTATCTTTAAAGTAAAATGATCCATAACATGCACTTTTCTAGAGACATTTAAATATTTTCATGCTTATTCTGGAGAGTGTTCAGAAACTCTTTTTTTTTATTAATTAGTTTCTTTATTTGAGTTCAGGTTCGATGCATGATACAGAAACTCTTAAACTGGAGTGCAGCTTCCCTTCCAATTTCTCATACAGCAGAGAGATTATAGATCGACAGGGCTGGAGGACAAGGGCATTTGAACTTCTGTTGAGTTTATGCTTCGGTGAAGGAAGCATATCTTTACTTTTTTGGAGAATGACAATTTAATACCAAACAGTTACTCATCACCTGATCAGTTTCAGGCACTGTGGACATTATTCCATGCACTCTAGTGGGACAGCGAGGAAACAGCTGAGTAGTTTATGTGTTCTGATAGGTACCACAGGGGATGTTTCACCAAGGACTTCTATCTATTTCCCTAAACTCCCTGATTTCTTGATCATATTGTTTCTTTCCAAAGTTAGGAGTCGAGATGTCAAACTGAAATTCCATCATGGAAAAGGGAATAGCTCTTATGTGTGTACAGGAGTTCTTAGCCTGTAAAATGCATCTGAGAATTGCGATTTGTAATCTCACGGACACAGTGAAGGGCCTGAAGAACTGAGATGATGCAGCAAAGTCCAATGGGGTCAGAACAAGAAGGAGAATTCAGACTTCAAGTAGACAGTCCAGAGTTTTTTCAGTAAATTACACATCAAATTTGCCCTACAGATGGTTTACAGGTGACTGGTGCTAGGTATCTGAAGAGATGGAAAGCTTTATGGAGGAAATAAGGAAAAATTGAAACAGTACTGGGACAGTGTCAAGGGCATACTCCACAGTTACAGTGATTGCACTATTTTGTTGTAAAAGTCAGAATACAATTCTCTGGTGATTAACGAGTATGATTCTTTGTTCCTTTGTAGGTAAGTCAGGCCCCAGGAAGCTGTTCCTTGCTGAATGGATGTCCTCAGGCCTCCCAACAATGTGACTGCATTTGTTCTCCTGGGACTCACACAGAATCCACACTTGCAGAAAATCCTCTTCATTGTCTTTCTGTTCGTTTTTTTATTCACTGTGCTGGCCAATCTGCTCATTGTCATCACCATCTCCCTCAGCCCCACACTTTCTGCTCCCATGTACTTCTTCCTCACTTACTTGGCTTTATTAGATGCCTCCTTCACCTCAGTCACCACGCCTAGATTGATCATTGACCTGCTGTTCCAAAGGAGAACCATCTCCTGGCGAGGATGCCTGACTCAGATCTTTTTGGAGCACTTCCTGGCAGCATCAGAGATCATTGTCCTCATGGCCATGGCCTATGACCGCTACGTGGCCATCTGCAAGCCTCTGCACTACACGACCATCATGCGACAGGGGCTCTGCCAGCTCCTGGTGGTGGTGGCCTGGATCGGGGGGATCCTGCATGCCACCGTGCAGATTCTTTTCACCATGGACTTGACCTTCTGTGGTCCCAACGTCATTGACCACTTCAGGTGTGATTTCTTCTCACTGTTGGAACTTGCCTGCAGCGACACCTACAGGCTGGGAATGGTGGTGGCAGCCAACAGTGGGGGCATGTGCTTACTGATTTTTTCCATGCTGCTCATTTCCTACATAGCCATCCTGAGCTCCCTGAAATCCCATGGCTCTAAAGGACGGCGGAGAGCCCTCTCTACATGTGGCTCCCACTTTACAGTAGTGGTGCTCTTTTTTGTGCCTTGTGTGTTCACCTACATGCGTCCTGTGGCCACGTACCCTGTGGACAAGTGGGTGGCTATGTTCTTTGCAATCCTCACACCGTGTTAAACCCTATTATTTACACAGTGAGAAACACAGAGGTGAAAAATGCCATGAGGAGTCTGATGAAGAAGAGAGTAACTTAGGCTGTTCACGATACCAAGAAAGTGATGATTATATACATATATAGGGAGGATTATACATGCTGCAGATTGTGAAAGTAAATTAGCAAATTTTGCAGATTATTGACAAAAGTGGCCTAGAAAATAGGCATTTTGAAAACTTTTTAAAATACTTTGCCAAGACTTGTATATTCATACTCAGTTTCAGAATAGCCAATGGGAAGAATATCAAAAATAAGCCCCTAGTTTATTTATTGTAGAGTATATTCTTCCAGTGTGTTATTATTAATTTTTAAAGATTATTCAGATAAGTTACTTGGATGAAATTGATTTTTTCATATGACCTTCATGTCAGAAACCTTGTTTTTGCATAGCCTGTGGTCCAGCCAGTAAGGAACAGATATACTTAGATACATGTGTGGCAGGGAGAGTTGCGGAAGTTTAAGAATCAGGGTTGAATTTTCTATTAATTTTCCAAAATCAGCAAGAGGAAACACCTAGAAAAAGAGATAATAATAACTCACAAACTATTTCTTTTTTTGGCACAAAAATTAAGCCAGAAACTTTGAAATTATTCTTTATTTGCTCTTATTTTATAAAGTATCTTCATGACTCAGAGCTTTTCTTGAACACGAAGGAAATGTTTCTTTTTATGTCTCAAGACTTGAGGAACCATTTGAAACTAGAAGGGTAAGCATCTTTTATTAAATTTCAATAGAAAATCGTATGGGTAGATCCCAAAGCTCTAGATCTATACATCTGATACATATGTTTACATTAATTGAACCTTTTATTAATATTATCTGTCCAGCATCTTTGTTTCAGCTGATTTTGTCATGTACTAAGCTGGTGGTTCCATTATCATTAACCCCACTTTGTTGCTGTTGTTTGGTTGTTAAATCATGTCCAGCTCTTTGCAACCCCATGGACTGCAGCCCACAAGGCTTCTCTGTCCGTGGGATTTCCCAGGCAAGAATACTGGAGTGGGTAGCCATTCCCTTCTCCAGGGGATCTTCCCGACCCAGAGATTGAACCTGCGTCTCCTGCATTGACAAGCCAGTTCTTTAGCACTGAGCCACCTAGAAGCCCTATTCCGCCCATTTTACAGAAGCAAATGAAAGCCGAGAGGTTTACTAATGTACTTGTCTCACCTCACATGCCTTCCTCCATTAGTGTGTTAGGAACTATTACACTGGAGTGTATCACCCTTTCAAAAATTTCAGCTACAAGCTTCCAGTCCAGGTCCTTAAAACCCAGTCTTACTGCTTTCAAATGAGACAGGGTTGTCTGTGGTGTGTTTAGGTGTATCAGTTCAGTTCAGTTCAGTCGCTCAGTTGTGTGACCCCATGGATTGCAGCACACCAGGTGTATAGATAAATTTATCTGCAGTCTTAATGATCCACTTTGTCCTTTAAGAAGATGGTGTCAAATACAAAAATAAACTCAAAATGGATTAAAGATCTAAATGTAAGACCAGAAACTATAAAAGTCCTAGAGGAAAACAGGCAAAACACTCTCTGATATAAATCACAGCAGGATCCTCTATGACCACCTCTCAGAGTAATGGAAATAAAAGCAAAAATAAACAAATGGGACCTAATGAAACTTAAAAGCTTTTGCATAACAAAGGAAACTATAAGCAAGGTGAAAAGCCTTCAAAATGGGAGAAAATAATAGCAAATGAAGCAACTGAGAAAGAATTAATCTCAAAAATATATACAAGCAGCTCCTGCAGCTTAATTCCAGAAAAATAAACAACCCAATCAAAAAATGGGCCAAAGAACTAAGCNTACTCGGCCATTATAAAGAATGCATTTGAATGAGTTCTAATGAGGTGGATGAAACTGGAGCCTATTATACAGAGTGAAGTTAGAAAGAAAAACACCAATACAGTATACTAACACGTATATATGGAATTTAAAAAGATGGTAATGATGACCCTATATGCAAGACAGTAAAAGAGACACAGATGCATGGAACAGTCTTTTGGACCTTGTGGGAGAAGGCGAGGGTGGGAAGATTTGAGAAAATAGCATTGAAACATGTATATTATCATATATGAAACAGATCACCAGTCCAGGCTTATGCACGAGACAGGGTGCTCAGAACTGGTGCACTGGGATGACCCAGAGGGATGGGATGGGGCAGGAGGTGGGAGGGGGTTCAGGATGCGGACACATGGGCACCCATGGCTGATTCCTGTCAAAGTATGGCAAAAGCCACCACAATATTGTAAAGTAATTAGCCTCCAATTCAAATAAATAAGTTAATTTAAAAATAATATAAAAAATGAAGATGGTGTCAAATATGTTGCAGACTTGTCTCACATGTAGCAGTGTATTTCAGCAGTAAAAGCTTATTCGTTTCATGAAAGTTCAAGTTATGCCACTTCACTATTACAAAAGACAAACATTACTATGGCAAACTTTACTTGCAATGGAAAGGAATCTGAAAAAACGTATATTGCAAATTAACTGTTCTTCTATTAGAAAATGGAAAAAAATATTTTTAATAGTTCTCTAATATTAATATGATTTTTTTTAAGTAAAATGAAAAATCCCCTTCGGATTAAAAAAAAATTTAGTGATAATAGGTACTAATGTAGGCCTTCATAAAAGCCATGTAGCTAAGGTGAACTTTCAGAAAGTGGGGATACCCACAGTGCTAATCTATGCCTGTGGTCACACCGTGAAGTTTGCCTTTGAGGTATTCTTCCCTTATCTGTTTAGTTTTTTGGATGGCGGGGCTTTCTTCTCTTCATCTCTCTGCTGAGCTCCATTCCCTAAGTTATTTGCAGGTTTTGGGGTGATCTTGTGTGAAGCAAACCATCTGATGATCTCCTTTCTGCAGCTATGTTCCCCTTCAGGGATGTCATGAAAAGAGGGACGTAATCGGATCAGGAAATAAAGTTCAGTTTCCGTATTTCACAGGAAGCGACACGTGGGTGAAAGAGATGTTTAGAAGAAAGTAGAGCGCCTCAGTCACTGAGGAAACTGATACTTGGTTTGGGCACGAGGTAGAACCTTGAAGAGCTAAATGGGTGCTGTTTCTGTTGGAATGCTTCCATTATTATACTGTAGTGTTAGCATTTATTATTGAAAAAAAGGGTTTCATAGTGTTAACACGTATTGCTGATAAAAAAAGGACCTTGGGAAAATTTGACTTCTTTAATTAATGGAAAAAGTAATGTTCAGTGAATGCAATGTGCCAGAGAGTTATGGGAGCTCCATATACACTGCTGAATGATACAAACAAAGGCTGTGTTTACGTGGAGGTAAAATTCCCGTGGGGGAATAGATGGATAATAAGCAAGTAAACAAATAAATGAAAAGTATAATTTTGTTAGTAATGGTGAAAATTTAAAAAAGGCATTTTATAAGAGTGTGATACAGGAGAGAAGAATTAGATACATATTTGTGTAGTTGTGTAAATCCCATGTAGGATTTCACTTTGATAGAAATATAATCACACATGCTATTACTTTTTTAAAGTAGATTATTTAAAAACATGTGTTTGAAATGGGGATAATATCTTTTATCAATGAGAAAAAAGTAATTTCTTAGGGGATGATCATTCTTTACTATATATATATATATATGTATACATATATAAAACGCATAGATGTACATAAAGCACATGGATAGTATATTTATGGTATGATTATTTTAGAAGGGAAGGTTATTAAGGGAATATAATATCTACAAAAGCAAAAAAAGCACCTTTTAGAGGCAATAGTGGAAAAAAAATGATTGAAGAATACTGCCTTAACTCATATCTAAAACAGTAGGTAAGACCATGGAGTAAATTTAGAATGATAGTAAAGTTCATCCAAGAACAGAGCATGGCCCACCACCTGTAAGGATTGTATGCAGTAAAACTGAGAGACTCTTCATTCTCAGGGGACTCCCCAGAGTGTGCTCAACTGTATTAATAAGCAGGTTGTAATCGACAAACTACATTGTAAACTGATATTTTATCCATTTGGATTTAGGAGAAGAAAGAAGGCTATAATCCCTAATATTTCTAAATCAAAAACAAGAAATTTGAGAGTACTAATTGCTCTGCAATGAGAAAGAATTTAGTCCTTATTTTTCTGAATTAGGAATGTTTTAGAATCCTTTATAATGGAAACGATTCTGTAGTTCGATGTGACACAGTTGTAATACTCATCTTGAAAGAGTTAGAGAGCCCCAGATTAGGTGATAGAAAACTTCACCCTCGAAAAATTGGAAAGGAGGCTGGTGTGGGGCTGCTGCTGGCTACCTGGTGGGTGGGTCCCAGGTCAGGTGTGGACTCAAGGTGTTCTGAGGTAGCAGGTCTAAGGGCAGATGGGTGGGGCTCTGTCTTTGCTCTGTTAGCCACTCGCCCTGGGGCTTCTCAACATTGGCGCCACCTGGCTGGTGAGTGATGTCTGCACCCACCACAGAATTGCTAGAGGGAGGGTTTCAATATGATGCTTGCCAGCATCATGTCACTATCACAGGATAGCTACCCAAAACGGTTGCGACCAGTGTCTATGTAACCAAAGTGAGGCTCAATTTTCTCTTTTATTTCTGGGATTCTCTGTTCATTATGAGCAATTCGATCTGACTCAAGCTCTTTTCAGATTTCTATTTCATACAGGACTGGATGTGACTTTTAAGGTTGGAGTCACTATTTTCCAAAGCCCCCTGGCTCTCTGAAAAGGAATCCCCACTGGCTTACAAAGTCGTATTATTTTAGGGGAGATCACTTCCCAGTGTAGGAGTACTGGGCTAACTAGTACTATGTGGGGTTCAGAACAATTTCCTTCTTTGGGAAAATGTCTGCAACTGGATTATCACCCTAGGTGCCAACCTGAGGTAGGAGACTGGACTCTACCCTGTATCACTCACTGCTCTCTGTCCTGTCATGGTTCCTACTCTATGTATTTTATTTTATTTTTTATTTTTTTACTCTATGTGTTTTAATAACAGAGGATCTGCTAGTCGGGTTATTCCCATCAACAGTGGTTCCTAGATAGTCATAATTTTGGTCTTTCCTTAAGAGGGCATGATCTCAGGATCTTTCTACTCTGCCAATCATGACTGCTTCACCATGTACATATGTCTGTATGCCAGGGATAGCCTTAACTTTATTGTATGTTTTAAAAATAAGAAGTATGATTGTTCTTTCTATTTGGAATCACTTGAGATTTCATATGAATTTTAGGATGGCTTTTTCTATTTCTGCAAAAAATTTTTTTGAGGTTTTCATAGAAATGACATTGAATTTGTAGATCACTTTAGGTCATCTTGGTATCTTAATTTTTGTTGTTGTTCAGTTGTTAAGTCTTGTCTGATTGTACAAACCCATGGACTGAAGCATGCCAGGCTCTCCCGTCACTTACTGTCTCCCGGAGTTTGCTCAAACTTACGTCCATTGAGTCAGTGATGTTATCTAACCATCTCATCCTCAGTCACCCCGTGCTCCTCCTGTCCTCAATCTTTCCTGGCATCAGGGTCTTTTCTGATGATTTGGCTCTTCGCATCAGTTGGCCAAAGTATTGGAGGTTCAGCTTCAGCATCAGTCCTTCCAATGAATATTCAGGATTGATTCCCTTTAGGATTGACTGGTTTGATCTCCTTGCAGTCCAAGGGACTCTCAAGAGTCATCTGCAACACCACAGTTCAGAAGCACCAGTTGTTCGGTGCACAGCCTTCTTTATGGTCCATCTTTCACAACTGTATGTGACTACCGGAAAAACTTTGACCATATAGACTTTGTTGGCAAAGTGATGTCTCATTTTTTTAATACTCTGTCTAGGTTTGTCATAACTTTTCTTCCAAGAAACAAGTATCTTTTAATTTTATCTTAGTAATATTAAAAATTCCAGCTCATGAATGTATTTCCATTTATATGTGTCTTCTCTAGTATCTTTTGGCAAGATTT